AAAAAAAAAAAAAAAAAAAAAAAAAAATTTAAAAATTATGAAAAAACACTATGTTATGAAGAAAAATAAACTGAACAACTTTTGTCTTGGCTTTACATCGAAATTCTTCACCAAATTTAAAATAAAAAATAAATTTAAAAATATTTTATTTATTTATTTATTTTTTTATTATTTCGGCTCGGCGAGGCAGGTGACCCCGGGCCACTCAAGTAGCCTAGTATATATGGATATATCGATATATATACATATTGATGTATATATCGTTAAATAGAACTGCCCGGTAAACCGTAGGCATTGATGTATATATATGTATATACAGGGTCACCAACCCGTACGTACGGAGGTCCCCAGGCCGACCTCTGTACGTATGGGCGTTCGGGGCCCCGTACAGGGTTCGAACTCAACGACATTCGGCTCCAGCCAAAAATGATTTCGGGGCTCAAATTTTATTTTATTTTTTGGAATGTTTTTTATGAGTTCTCTATGACATAAGGTACATGCCTATAAATTTTAATGTCCTTTGGCTTAGCCAAATAAAAATTAAAAATCACCAAAGATAGTGGTGTCAAAATGTGCTCACCCACGTTTGTTTTCAATTTTTACTTTTTGCTTTCACTTTAGTTCGAGGTCTAAACAATTTTATTATTTTTTGAAATGATGAGGCTTTCTTTTACGTATGTATTGTATGGTCGGTCTTGTGAAGTTCAAACTCTTACAATGGGTAGAACGCGAAGTAAGATAAGCGATTGATTACATAATCGAGCAAAGAAGGAAAGAAAACTTATGCTCCGTGAGGTTTCAGTAAGCTAGAGCAATCAATGAATTCAATCCCACCGGGCCATCGTCAATTTTCAATTCCCATTGGTTGTTCCAGCGAACGGCAACGTTTTTCTTTAGAGATCACTCTCTAAGGTGGTCATCCCGACCAAAGAACCAAAACAGATGTTGAAATAAAACAGGATCTCCTCCTCCTGCAGGATCAAAAAAAGTGGTATTAAAATTTCTATCATTTAATAGCATAGTAATAGCACCTGCTAATACTGGAAGTGACAATAAAAGTAGAAAAGATGTAATTAGCACAGACCAAACAAATAGAGGTAATCTATGCATGGTCATTCCTGGGCCACGCATGTTAAAAATAGTCGTAATGAAATTGATAGCACATAATATTGAGGAAACACCCGATAAATGAAGACTTGCCAAATTCGTTCGGGATGCAGGGACTTTTGCTCAATTAAGTTGGTTTTGTATTATGTGAAGTACACACCTGTAAATTTTCAGGGTATTTAGCTATGTAAATAAAAAATAAAAAATCACCAAAGATGGCAATGTCGAAAACGTGCTCTTGCTCTCACTAATTTTTTTTTTTTTTTTAAATTATTTGTCTTTGTTCTCCGTATTTTATTTTGATTGTAAATTTGGTAAGGAATTTGGATATAATGCTCAGGCAAATCTTGTTTAATTTATTTTTTTTCATAATATATTTTGTTTTCAGATTTGTTTGATTACTTTTTTTTTTTTTTTTTTTTTTTTTTTTTTTTTGCGTTCAGTTGGAACGACCGAACGCATCCCCAAGCGGTCCCATAGGTTCGGGCGTTCGGCCCATCTCGAAGGTCGGTTACCCTGTGTATTTATACATATATATATATATATATATATATACAAGGTGGCTGGCGTACAAGACTTCTTCGGAATGCGTTCGGCCGTTCGGGTCGACCGTGGACCCCAAAAAAAAAAGAAAATAAAAAAAATCACAAAAATCAAACAAATCTGAAAAACACATACGGTATGCAAAAAAATAAACTAAGCAGCATTTGGCTGAGCAATACAGCCAAATTCCTTACTGAATTTCAAATAAAAATAAAGAAAGAAAAATAAATATTAAAATTAAAATTAGTGAGTGCGCAAGCTTATTTTCGACACCACCATCTTTTAAGATTTTTCATTTTTTGAGAGATAGAGAGAGTTTTGTTTGTTTTTTTACTTTAATTTAGAATATGGTGAGAAATTAGAGGGACCCCCTTCCCAAAACACGGGTAGTCCAAAGGGTCACAAAAACGACACAGTCATTTTATTGCAACTGAAATAAAAGAGATTAGACGAAAATTAAAACAAGAGTGAAACAAAAATTAAAAAATAAAATAAAAATTTGTGTTAAAAATTAAAGATTATTACAAAAATCGTATTAAAAAATATTATTTATCTATACGTGAAATAATCGCTGGGCTAATTTTATACATTTTTAATTTTTACCACTCAACCATGTGTGGACCAAGGAAAACGTACTTCAACTTCAGTCATTTTTCACTTTCAGAAGAATACGTAAAAAAACCTGAAAAATTTGAGTGCTTATAAATTTTGTTCTGATCCCTCTATATAAAATATTTAAAAAAAAAAAAAAAAAAAAAAAGCGAAACTAAGCTACCAAAGTGGCCCGGGGCCAGCTACACGGCTGAAAAAAAAAAAAAAAAAAAAAAAAAACCTAGGCTACCAGAGTGGCCCCGGGGCACTTGCCCGACCGGACAAAAATAATTAAAAAAAAAAAATAAAAATAAAATATTTTTAAATTTTATTTTTTATTTTAAATTTGGTGAAGAATTTCGATGTGATCCTAAGGGAAAAGTTGTTCAGTTTATTTTTCTGCATAACATACTGTTTTTTGAGAATTTTTGTAGTTTTTTTTTTTTTTTTTTTTTGCTAGGACCTTACCTGATCCTTGCACGGGATGACCTAAAATAATAATAATAATAATATTTTTTTTAACTTTATTTTTTATTTTAAATTTCGTAGCGAATTTCGATGTGACCCTGAGGCAAATGTTGTTCAATTTATTTTTTTGCATAACATAGTTTTTTTTTGATTTTTTGGATTTTTTTTTTTTTTTGCTAGGACCTTTCCTGGGCCTTGCACGGCCAGGCCGTCTGGGAAAATAGGGTGACCCGGGCGGCCCGGCTGGTAGCCTAGCTGCGAAATATATCGCGGCCGCAATTTGACTCATATTCCAATTTTTCCATCCAGCGTCCCTCTCTCTTTCTCTCTTTTTGGTAGTCGACCCCCGCCTCCCTCTCTCCCTCCCTCCCCCCTCCCTCTCTCTCTCTCTTGTGCGCGTGCTTAGTCCCATTGCTTTGACTACCTTAAGGCTGCGTCTCCAGTGCCCACGCGATATACAATATTCCAATAAAAACATTACCTTTCCTTCTTGTTTTTTGGAGATCAGCGCTTGCCCTTGTACTTCCCGCCACTGGCATGCTGCATGTTGTAGGGCTCTCTTTCTCTCTCACACACACACCCACTCTCACATACACACGTGCACACACACACATTCTCTTGTCTATTGGTGGGGAGCGACACGTGCTAGAAACTGGGTCCAGTGTCACATGAACATGGTGAATAAAGCACTAGCCGGGAACCCACACAGACATACTCTTCGAGTTGTGTATAGCGAACATGACAAAACATAAAAAAAACGTAATCACTACCTTACCCTTCCCCAACCACATCAACAAACAAATGACGGGCTCCACACCCGTGCCCTCACCATAAGTCAATCCGTTTAGGAAAAGCCTCCGACAGGGCCAAGTCGGGAATTGGATGGTACCCACCGTGGTACTTCCCAAATTCGAAATAGCACTTTCAATTTTCAGGCTCGGCAAAAATCGGCGCGCAAGGCATTTTCAGGGTCTGCTTCAATAACTGAGAAAGGTACGAGACCCTAAGTCCTACTGGTCAAAGTGTGAGCATGCCCTGATTGCCAATCTTGATCTTTTATGTGGGTGCCTAGGTGAAATTGGAGTATCGCTGGCTTCTCGACCGGATGACAGGGCTTTGTGCTGTGCCGGTAAGCGTGGAAGAACATCCCTCGACGAGGGGAGTCGGCGATCGGTGGCGGAACTGGTGCACAGGGAAGTAGGCAAGCCAGGTGGTTTTGGACGGGCCAGAAGCGACGGCTTCCGGCCTATTGGGCAGTCTTGCCTGAAGAGTCTGGAACTCTGTGGGGATTCGGGCGGACGTCGCAGGTGGATGGAGTGGAGGTCTAAGCGAGCGGGGAGCGATGAGGAGAGCAGGTCCCGAGCACAACTACCCGAGGCGAACAAGAGGGGCGTCGCGCGCGGAGGCCTGGAAACCCTCCCTCGCGGCGGGTCGTGGTGCGGCTTACGTGGACGGCGTCTGGCAATAGCACGAGTAGGTGGCGGCTGATAGAGGAGAGACCCATCTGTGACGGCTGGCGACAACGCCTTTCTGTGCGTAGCTCCACCGGTAGCAGTGTGCTTTTTGTCCTTGGTGCGTCTATTGCGATACTACGCTAGGTTGTTAGGAACGTGCGGTCGGCGCGGTGCAAGTGCGGTGCGGTGCGGCGCTGCGCTGTATGTTCGCGTTTGTTCGATTCGCTGCTGTGGTCTGGTGAGGTTGGGTGTTCTTTGCGTTCGCGCTAGGGGTCGGACTCAGGCCGGAGAAAGGCAGATGGAACTTTTTTGGCGCAGCCTCTGGCTCAAGTTCGGTGGCCGAATCGCGCTTCTAGCGGAATGAAGGAGGAGGTCGTAGGAGGGAGAGGTAGAAGAAAACGGGAAACAGTGAAGCGACTCTGTTTGGACAACTGAATGGCCCTTAGTCGATATCTCTATATTAAAGAAGACCTCTGGGAAAGCAGGCTTCAGATGAGAGCGAAGCTTAACAACAGTATCGTCTGCAACATATCGACGGCCAGGTCGAATTCGTCGTCATACCCATTGAGAGCGAAGTCTCTAATCGAATCTCTTCTCGGATTTGAAACCTAGCTCTAAGCTGAACTATCTCGCTGGCGAATTGTGGGAGACATTCGCGAAGTTGTTTGCATTAGTGGGGTTCTCGACGACGAAGGCGGCATATGTGTAATGGCAAGTTCACACTCGGAGTTCTTCACATGAGTCTGGGTGTAAGTGCAGTCAAGATGTGTCCAGCAAGATGTCCAGGTATGAGTCTGCTCCAATAGATTATTGCGGCACGAACGAGGAATGGGAGACAAAGAAAACACTTGGCACCGAGGCGGCTGCTCAATGAATTAGTGATGGTCGTTCCAAGGAGAGGGGGCAGAACATCACAGCAAAGGCTTCGCTGTTTATATGTTTAACTTCTCATTTGTCGTCTGGCGAGGAATCAACGGCACGATTTTGGCGGTAAGGTAGCCAGTTGACATTCGGACTCGTGGTTGGCTGCTGTAGTGATCGCGCTGTGTACTGCGAGCGATAGAGATAAAACGTTCTATGGCCGGTCATGGGTGTGGCAAGAGGCGCCCAGTGTTTGATAGCGCTGCACATGAGATGTTTTGAGTGAGTGTGTTTGAGAGGAAATATACTCGAACGTGGATGGTGCGTGTTTATGGAGACTACAAGAATAATGGAGTGAACACAGCTTCTTGTCCACCACGTACATGAAGTGATATGTTTTGTTGGAGGAATGATGCTTGTAACCCTGTGTGTCACGATGCCTGTAACCCTATGTGTAACGATGCCTGTATGCCTGCGTGATCGTGAATATGTCTGTCCGCGTGTGATTGTGTGTTTGCCTTTTTTATGTCTGTACATGCGTGCGTGTCTGCGTGTGTGGGTTCGTGAAATTTCATTTTTACTCTGTGTGTGTTCGTGAAATTTCTTTTTTACTGTGTGTGTGTGTGTGTGTGTTTGTGTGTGTGTATTGTGTTTGCCTTTTTCTGTCTGTACATGCGTGCGTGTCTGCGTGTGTGGGTGCGTGAAATTTCTTTTTTAGTGTGTGTGTGTGTGTGTGTTTGTGAGAGAGAGAG